TGTTACTACTGCGTGGTTAGTGGTTGTTATGAGTAGCGATAGCGGGAGCTGTACTACTTGATAGAGACAGCGGGAACTGTTACTACTGCCTGGTTAGTGGTTGTTATGAGTAGCGATAGCGGGAGCTGTACTACTTGATAGAGACAGCGAGAGCTGTTACTACTGCCTGGTTAGCGGTTGTTATGTGTAGCAATAGCGGGAGCTGTACTACTTGATAGAGACAGCGGGAACTGTTACTACTGCCTGGTTAGTGGTTGTTATGAGTAGCGATAGCGGGAGCTGTACTACTTGGTCGAGACAGCGGGAACTGTTACTACTGCCTGGTTAGTGGTTGCTATGAGTAGCGATAGCGGGAGCTGTACTACTTGGTAGAGACAGCGGGAAGTGTCATGTAATTCTTACGGGGCAGTAATAGGACACATATCAGTATTGTTAAGAAAAAAGGAAAGTTCTAAATGGGTCTGTTTTTGATATCTTAAGTTGGATAAACATGCGGTTGTTGTCGCTAAAATGAACGTCTTCCAGGCATAAATGGAACCGTCTATCAAAGTGAGTGTTGTTTATGGTGTACTCACCACAGCGTAAAAGTCTAAAGAAGGCAACCGACATAACCGCTTTCATGAGCATATCAGTGAAATGAATGAAAACCCCCTGCTGTAGAGCTGCAAGCATCTGAATTAAAATGTCCCCAGTGATAGGTAGACAATATTTTCTCTGTACTCCATGACCTCTTTTTATGGCTTTAAGCAATAAATTCAATCTTAAAAACTAGCCCCATTGGGGGTTTGAAAAGGATTTGGTAAACCTGACTCAATATAACGAAATCTTATTCCTGCCAAATATAGTCTTATTGTTGATTCACTCAACATTAAACGTTTATTACAATGAGTCACAAATAGTAAAAACAACTCCTCAGAAACTGCAGGTAAACTTGTTCTGGAACAAACAATGTTATTAAAAGCTAGAAACAGAGCGAGTCCACTCTCATAAGTTCTCCGTGTATTGTCCGTAACAGTTGTTTTCCATATTTGGCTATAGTCTATGGCTAATTGTGGACTACGCTGAAGTATGGTGGACACTGTGTCCTTTGGAAGCGGAACAAAGCGTCAGCAATATTATTTTGACTTCCTGGTCAATGTTTTGTGATAATAATGAAATTGTACTTCATTGCTGTTAATGTCAGCGGCGCATTAGTGAATTGATAGTACCGCACTTTGACGTCGCTCTTCCTTTCCTTATAATCTGTACAGTGGCTAGATTATCGCAATTAAATCTTATCCTTTGTTGTGACCAGTGCTCCTACTAGAGCAAGGCTGCAATTACAATGGGGAATAACTCCAATAATGCCATAGATAATTCATCATGTTTAATCACTGCAAGTTCAAAAGGTCATTTATCGCAGAACCAATGCCCTTAGAAAAAATCTTCAAAACCTAGTGTAGATGAGGCGTCTGTTTAAATTTGCAAGTCAGATGCATTAATGAAATCACTATTGAGAAACATGTGAACACCGTTTCAGTCTTGTAAGAAATGTTGCAACATTTACAACTCCAGTTTACAGTCTTGGTTTAAAGATATATGATGATACAGATGATGACAGTTGCAGTAAGTGGGAAGGACTACACATGCCACAAAACTAGGGTGGCCTAGAAGTGATAACATTTGTCTCTTAGTGATAGTCTTTCTAGCTGTAACCCTCAGTGATCTTTGTTATAATTCTTGCTTTCTTATCAGTAGGGTGAAATTTAACATAATACCTATTAAGTATTCCAGTTTATGTGAAGTTCCAATTGTTTTATGTGGAGACAAAGGGATGTTCAGCGATTTAAAAATCATTGTCATAACTGCCATAGATCGCATGGCCTGGATTTCAGTGTAATCAATTGTCAAAAAATCATCCAATAGGTGAAGAATGAACTTAACCTGGTATTTGTTTTCTGCAATCCAGCAAACAGCTTGAGAAATGGAATAAACAAGCCATTGAAAATGACACAGTCCCCGTAAAATTTTTGGAAGTTCTCTTTGTGCTCGTCATATTAAAGCAGAGGGGTTGTCGCGAGCGTGTCCTTGAAACTTGAGTTTCCAAGTGGCGCGTATACAACAGATTGTTTATTTACATCAAAACACGTGTTTCGTGTAGTAGTAATATGGCCAAAAATAAAAACAGCCGTTATTCGGCCATCTTTGATCTGATTATGAAACACACTGATAAGTATGATGTATGTGCCAAATACGAATGAAAATGATACATAAATTGTGGAAATATAGTAGTAAGGCCAAAAAGTCAGATGGCTGTCAATCGGCCATCCTTGACCAGATTTTGAAACAAATTGTCATGGACATGCATCCTAACATGTATGTGCCAAATTTGAATGAAAAATGACAGAGCACATCCAAGATACCGCATAAAAAAACAAAACAAGATGCCTGCCAGTCTACCATGATCCAATTGCGAAATAAATCGTCATGGACATGTATCCTAACATGTATATTCTATGTACCAAGTTTGAATGAAAACTGACAAACCATGTCCAAAATACAACATTTTCAAAAACAAGATGGCTGCCAGTCGGCTATTTTGAATCGAATCGCTAAGCCACTGCATGTGCATATGTCCCACATAAGGTACTAGACAATTGCAAAGAATGAACGGAATCAGTCCACAGGATTCTGAAATATGACTCTGGACAGATTGATGCAGGGACGGACGGACACATGGACGGACAGACACAGGAACTCACGGATGGTCGGGGACATGTATCCTAACATGTATAATCTATGTACTAAATTTGAATGAAAACTGACAAAGCATGTCCCAAATACGACATTTTCAAAAAACAAGATGGCTGCCAGTCGGCCATCTTTGATCCAATTGTTACGCACGGACGGACGGAGACCGAATTATAAGTCCTCGTTTTCGGACTTCGTTCGAACGGGAACTAAAAATGTTGGGGCTTGATCTACATCCGAAAACAAGTCTTACGAAGAAGTAATATTTGTCCCCCCATTTCACCCTGTGTAGATGCCAGATAGATAGGTGAAGTGGAATCTGTTTGAATGCGTTGGTGATATCAAACTTGCACATTTGAGCTTGACAATTTCTTGAATAGCGTCATCAATCTTAATATAAGACATGAAAGAATTCTCTTTATCTATAAGATCGTTAATACTAGGTATGTCAGCATTGTCATGAGGTGCTGACAAGTCTACAATAAGCGCTGTTTTTTGGAATATTTACCTTCAGCCAATCCGCTAATAGGGTGAACTGAAAATTATCAAAAGAGCCTATAACATAACCCTTGGCAACTTCTGCTTCTAAAAGTCTGCTTACAATTTGAGGGTTCTTCCTGGCAATCTATTCTTACATTCATAACTGACCGATGGCACATTGCCAATTCCTGTAAGAAAACCTTGCCTCAGTCCCGTACACAAATAATTTATCTGGATGATCTTCTAAATCTTTCTCCAACTGATCAATGTCTATAGGTGTACTAGGTAGTCAATGAATATTTTTTTTTACTGCCAGTAGACTTAGTGCATTTCATGCAGGGTGGCTTGTTTTACAAGTGGCACAAACATGAGCAAATAAAGAACAATTGCTTCGTGAACAGCCTCTCTCTGCATTGAAATTATTGCAGATTTCCTTCCAGTTGAAAGAAAATCTTAGTCTCCCTCTAATATCATGTGAACGTGGCTGACGACTGACACGATTTCGCATAAATTGTCTGCGAGGACAGAAAACAAACATGTGTGTATATAGTGCTGTTGCATATTGTACATGAACTAGCTTTACGACCAGCTGCAAGTCTTAAGAAAATGTCATTGTCACGGATGGACCAATCAATTTTAACATTTCTCTGTTGAAGCCAGGCAGCAAACTGTATGTGGTAATCATGAAATATACTACCTCCAAAACTGTTAGCAATTTCAATAATGTCAGCCTCATAAATATCAAGCTCCTCTCTTCTATCAGGGTACACTTCACACATGACTGACTTGTACTTGTCAAAAGCCAGCAAAAATTCACTTAATGTCAAAACTTTGTTCAAACGAGGGTCGGGGTTATCCTTTATCTTTATTTCATTGCCAGACAGATCTATAATAGATCTACAATAGAGCTACATGTACTTCCCGGCGATACATGATATGGAATTAATAAGGCTGCCAAATTGACATATTTACCTTCTATAATAGTTTTTCTGAGCGATGAAGAGATGTTAACTATTTTAGGTAAATCATGAGATGGAATGCCAAAAACGACTTCTTCCAACGGGACTGTCATTTTCTTGTTGAGCGCCCATCAAAGAATTTGATACCACGTGTACTTTTGAGTCTCTCGCTATCCTTTGTTTGTTGATGACGGTCATTGTATTTGGAGAGGCCACCATATTGTCTTGCTGACCTTTCGCATTTGAAGATTGGCATAAATTACGCACCATTTTTTTTAACTCCTGATGAATATTACTAATAGAATTATTGATTTCTGATGTCGAGGGTTTCTGGTGTTCGTCTGTTTCGGAATCGTCAATTTCTGTGATGGCGAACCACTTGAAGTTGTGGCGCGTCCTTTGTTTAGCTCAAAAGTTTTAATCAATGACTTTCTGCTTAAATTCGTTGGCAGAACAATACCAACCTCCTCCAATTTTTTATGTAGCTCCTTCGCAGACTAGTTGTTTGGATTATTAGGATGGAGTGTTGTTCCCCTGCATATATTCGGAACTCGGCGTTTAGTGGTATGAGTACTGACCCCAGCAGCACTAGTTGTAGTACTAGTACTTGGCATGGGATCATCGCCGACATCGTTGATCGGAGCGTCAGCATTAACTCGCCGCTTTCTGCCACTGCGTTTGGTGGAAACTGTGTTCTCCATAATGATATCGTAAAATAATTATGAGAATCGAAAACAAAGGAGTTACTGCCACGTTGTCTTAAGACTGAATCAAGATGGCACGTTGACTGCCAAGATCTCAGATCACGCGAGAAAGTGGAAGATATTTGTGTCATAAACACTGTTAAATGTTATCACATTAAACATGCATTACCATCACAGTAAGAAACACCCAAAGGTTCCTGCCTGTTAAATATCAATGCCATATGGTGTTAAGAAGTCAAAATGCTGACAGTAAAAGACCTTGTTGGCATTACAAGTTAAACTTGTAAATACTATGATAACTCAAGAGGTGTACATTCATATGATTATATACAATGTACTTTTATTCATTGTTTGATACACCACTCACCTTTGACTTATTGGTTTTAATTCCTTCTACAATCTGTTCAAACTGTTTCAGGAACTGACCTTTTCCAGATGCAGATGCCATAGCTCTGCAAAAAATATTTATAACTTAAATAGTAATAACGTGAGAGAAAACAATTTGTTGGTTTCCATACATTAATTTTACAACAATTAAATAGAACATAATGTTAAAGAATATTTTTTTTTCATTTTTAAAAACCTGGATTTTTGACACAATTTCGACCAACACAAAGTACCCCATCATTAACAATATATGATGCCCCCAGGCTACAATTTGAGATATAGCATCATATCTCTGCCATAGAAATATAAATTATAATGGTAAAAGCATTACAATACTGAAAAAAATGGCCACTGTCCATTAATTAATATACCATAACACTATAATATACATTTTCTCGAAAATTAGGCAGGTGACCCCCAACTTTAATTTATTGAAAAAATGAATGAATTTTTGTGTTTGCATCTACCTTAACCTTTTCAGCAAGACTTTCTTGCCCAAATTTTTTTTGTGTTTTTCAATATCTCAGGAAATTACCCAAAATTTTGAAGCCAACAGACAAAATTTTAACTATTTTTGTGCCAATCTTATGAAGGAAAGTGCTATAAACAGGGCAAATGGTGGTGAAAAGGTTAAACTTGTTTTTGTCTTTGATTAGAGTTTCATTGTCTCCCATCATGTCTCCATTATTCTCCTGATCTACTGGTATGTATCAGTAGTCTTTTGTTCAAATCAAATGATCCCCACCCCCTCTGTATTTGTTGTACTTACTGTGTGAAGTTATCATGGATTGAATTGAGGAGGTTGACTTCTTTCTGTAGATACAGCTTTGTATCATCCAGTGTGTTATATAACGTGTAAAACTGTTTGGTTTCTGTGTGTGTTGATCCAACTATAAAAACACAAAATAATAATTAATGGTCTTTTCAAACATTTTCACAAATATAAATGGCTTTGACAAAATGATGCTGTTTTACATGGATGTTCTTCATATATAACACCTTTATTACATTTCATAAACCAAAATAGATGTAATTCATTCTATAAGGTTGTAATAAAGAATTATCTTATCTTATCTTACAAGGCTTACTGAATCATTTTTTTTTACAGTACACTAGGGGGCATTTCTCACATATTTTTGTGTCTTTTTTTGTTTTAAAGGGGAACCGCTCAATCCCATGGATTGCACCAAAGAATCATGGGACACTATTGTTTATGTTGTTTACAATGTTAATCTATCTTTTGTTATCCATTGTTATTTTAATCCAGAAAGTAAATTTGTTGTAAGATTAGGCTTAACTGGAAGGTGCCCCTTTAAAGATATTTTTTTACCAGGCAACTATTTTAGAGCTTGGATGTGAGTGTCCCTGGTTCATGTGTAGATATCGTAGTGCGTTTTGTTGAATACAAGCAACAGTGGCTACAACTGTAACGAATGGTCAGAAGTCTCTTCATTAAATCTGTTGGACACTCAGGGTATGTGCTGATGGATTCAATGTTCAGTAGGATTTGAACAAGAGATATACGAATTGTGTGTCAATCACAACAATGATTACAATGTCAGAGATCAAATATGGTATAAGGCAAGACATAATTTTCACATTAAAAGAGTTTTTCTGATATTAGACATACACAATATGAAGGGGTGTAGCATATATTTCAAGATAACCCGACATTCAGATAACCAAATTTTACCTTGCTGGTACAGTTCAACAAATCGTCTTTGATACTGGCTCAGCTCAGCCCGTGGTGGTACTTCATCAATCTTTCTCTGGAGTACTGAAATTTCACGATTTTTACGTGCCTGTAAAAATAGACAAATAAAGTATAAAGTAAACTACTGCAATCACACTCATCTCAAATTCATTTGTTTTGGCAATATTTGCCATCAAACTCAAATAAACTTAACGCTATCAGGCAATAATTTTTCCTGTCAAATTCGGTGCAGCATTTATGTATTTTTCTAATAATTTCTTACAAAATAATTTTCCCTTTGCTGAATCTCTGTTGAAAAACTTATCCCAGATTTATTCTGCAATTGGTGACAAAAGTTGACTTGCCATTCAAATAGAAACTCACCAAGAGAAATTTGAAATTTGTAAATTCAAAGTTGAAAATTCGATAACCTAATCAAGTAAGTAAATTCTTACCAATAATAATCTAATCTTTTGTAACTTTTCTTTATCTGCCTGGTATTGTTTTGATATTAATTGACTTCTTTCATCATCGTCGTCTTCAACTGCATCTTCTTTCACTTCATTGAGCTTCTCATGAAGCCTTGAGAGTTCTTCCTGACAATTAAATTGATAAAATTTAGACATTGGGTTATAATTTGTTTTCATTTGTAAATTAATTTAGCACCATGCACCATCTTGACTTATTTTTATGTGCAAATTCAAGTGCTAGATATTATAGATATAAAAGGCATTTTGCCACAGAAACAGTATTCTATGTTTAGGAATAAAAGGAAAATCATCAAAATAACATAAAGCATAGATTATAGACAGATAATCAGATTTATATACATGCAATTGTATTTTAATACCAGTTGGAGAGCGCCCTCTATGGCTGGCGCATTCTTGTTTAATTGTGCCTTAGAGGGGGGGCAGCAACATTGATCCACCTCTTTTGAACTACACCGTCAACTTGCCGGCTTGCAGTTTGTTTCTTCTACAATTTTAGTCGTATTTTCGATAATTTTAAGGCAAGTTCTGGTTTACCTGGGGTTATCGTTCCGCCGTTGAGGTTTCAGGCATCCTTTCACACGTTTGTTTAAGTCATCATGAAGCCTAAAGTTTTAATTTTGGGTCATTCTTTTGTGGCGCGATTGAGTACGTTCACGTCAAGTGGACGCAATGCATGCGCTTTGCCGCTTTCGTTTAATTTGAGTAATTCGGCAGAAATAAAACTACATGGTTTTCGGAGGGCGTACGGTGGAAAAGATACGGCGTTTCGATTTACACGTCGTTCAGGATTTCAACCCAGACGTGGTTATTTTACAGTTGGGTACAAATGATGTAGCATCACTTTCTGCATCCAATGTAGGGTCACGTTTAATTAACTTGGTGCGTCATTTGCATGATCGCATGAACGTCAAGGTCATTATCGTGTGTCAGGTTTTCCCTCGCGTCACAGCAGCTCGGAGTAACTTTAATGAACGTGTGGCTCAGTTAAACAATATCTTAGAGGTGGAGTTAGGGGGCCTGGCTTACGGACACTTCTGGAAGCATAGGCGTGTTTTTAGCAACACGGCAACAATTTTCGGCCCCGATGGCATTCACTTTAACGGCATCGGTGAGGTCAGATATTATAGAAGCTTACGTGGAGCAATACTTAAATCCTTACAATTAATTTGATTGTATTTTGTGATTATCCAAATATATATATGTATGTGTATGTGTGTATGTATATATATATATATATATATATTTTATCGGTATCCTTTCACTTCTGTTGTTGCTATTACCATTGTTATTATCATGCGATAGAGTACTAATATTTGTACAGTTTATTTTCTGTCAATAATTTATTTTGTCAACAGTATGCCACCAAAGCGTTCAGCACCAGTCACCAGGGCAGCTACAGCAAAGCGTCGTAAGGCAGCAACAACCACATGTTCTGATCCAGTGGAAACATCAAGTAATCCTTCTGCGGTGCTGCAAGTCCCCACTACCGATCAACAAGGTGAACAGCGAGCTGCTGCAGTCACAACACGTAATAATGCTGCAGCGCAACACTTGGACCCAGAAGGGTTAGCAGCCTCTATCTCACGTGCAGTCGTTCAAGGTTTGAAGGAAGCTGGTCTTTGCAACGTTGCAAGCCCAGCAGCAACTACTGCATCTCAAGTCGTCCAACCAGTTGTCAATGACATTACGGGTAATGGACAGGGGGTTCAGGCTGCTAGAAAGCCACTGGATCAGATTAGTGATTTGTCTGTAATTCAGGTTACACAGCAACCTATAATTCAGGGTTCAGAGAGGGAGCTGCAGCCAACCACACTGTTCACTAGTCAGTCTGTACCTTTGGTAGCAAGGGTGTCAGATCAGGTTAAATCTAAAATCTGGGCAGGTGATTATATTGATTTCGCTACTCTGCTTAGTAATTCCTCCCTGCGGGATGGTAGGTACACCGTTGCATTATCTGATGGTGTGAGTAGGCCTCAGCTTTGTCTTGAGCCCACTGCTAGTACTAAGAAAATTACGTCAATTGAGCAGTGGATTTCTGCATTTAACATCTTTGTAGCAGTGTATACTTTAAAAAAGCCTGAGGATATTTCAGGTCTTATGAAATATGGAGAGGAGGTGCGTGACCTGGCAGCCCAAAAGGCTGGCTGGATGTTTTATGATGAGCAATTTCGCTTTTCTCCACTACCCTGGGACCAGACACATTGGGAATTGTGGTTACAAGCATTACATTTCGTATAGGAGCAGCCTCACAAGCTGCTTCAGATGGGTTGTCCGATGCTCAGATCCGTGTTTTAGGTAGATGGAAGTCAGATGCATTCAAGGGATATATTAGGCAACCAGCAGTATGGTAACATGTTTACAGAAATAGACAAAACATGTTTTGCACTTGAATGTAGGTCAGGCAGGGGCCGCTATATATGGGTGCCTTACATTGTTCTGTTTTTCCTTCTATTCGATATAGGTCAGGCAGGGGCCCCTGTATTCGGATTCAAGCAATTTAGTTA